TTATTATTATTATTATTATTATCCTAGTTTGAGACATTGCGAGGTCAATGTGTAAATATTACCTGTAAATATAATCTCTCTCTCTCTCTCTCTCTCTCTCTCTCTCTCTCTCTCTCTCTCTCTGTTGCCACAGGTAAACTTCATGAAGAAACTGAAGCTCGCTGGAGTTGGAATATGGGCCCTCCACCTCGATGATGTCACAGGAGTCTGCAAGGCCGGCCCCCTCCCCTTGCTCAACGAAATAAAAAAGGCGCTTCAAAACTACAGTAACAGCACACTGGCAGATAGCTGGAAATAATAAAAGTAAAAAAGCTCAACTCCATGACGGGGAGATATCAAAAGAGCCGCCATCTTGATGACGTCAAAGAAGAAACAATAGTAACTTCGATTGTCTCCTTTCTACTGTAAGCTGACAAAAAGCCTTTTTTTCAGTTTTGGAGTTACATTTTTTAAATTTGCTAAATCGAAAGCCTGATCAGTTACCCTACTTGTGTGAAAAAAAATCAATTTGAAACTGTGAAAAGTTTTTGAATAAATTAGAATTCAAATTTCAGAAGAACGCTGTGAATAGGCTGACGAAAAGGCCTCGTTATCTCGAAACTGCTGAGATTAAGAAAACAAATGACGTTTTGTCAGATTACGTCAGCTTTGCTGAAGGAATTTTTTAAAAGGCACTTCATAATATCAACGCACCGGAACAACGCTAGATGCAATCAATGATCGTACATAACAAGATAGTTCACTCCTCTCTTTCAGCCAATTAAAAAAAGTGTCCTCAAAATCCGGTGGCGCCCTCTTCGAAAAAGTGCGGACTTTGCGAACAGAGTTACCCTACTTGTATGAAACACAATAAAAGCGAAACGAACAAGCTGTGCTATTCCTATTCTTCTTCTGGAGAAACGAAAGAGCTTTAAAACAAAGATTGCAGCGCTATCTGAACCAATGCGCGGACTTCCGGGGCCACTTTTTTGGCCGAGTGAACTATATTGTTTTGAACGATCTTTGATACAATGAAAGAATATTGAGGAGAGAATCAGTGAGTTAAAAAGCAAATAAAATTTTTTTTAAAACCCAGCCCAAGCCGCTGTTAAATAGGATCAACGTATTTGCAGTTCATTTAATATGGCTGAGCCATGTGTATCATATCATTATTCCTGAAACTACGAATTAATGCGGAGGATAATCCTGTCCTGTTCTTGTAGAATATTATTATAGTAAAGGAGTGATGATATTTAGTTCGGGAGCAGAAATTAAATAGATCCAAATGTGATTCAATAATACACCTCTGATCCCCCCCCCAAAAAAAAGAAGAAAAAGAAAAACCAATTAAAAAAACAACCCAAAAGTAAAAGAGTTAGGAATACCAGCCTCAGACTAACGCTTACACTTACAATTGGTCGCTTGTAAGGACAAGCGGGCTAATCCAGATTTCAGGGTTTTCCAGAAAATCTCGACCTACACCAAAAGTGGGCATTGCCCCTGCCTATAGCAGAAGTTTGGTTTTATTGGTGTGTATTTGTTTGGTTATAGAAAAAACTCTCCTTGTCTTTTAAAGAAAATGAACAAGAGTCCAGAAACTTTACCTTTCGATTTTCACAAAATAACATTTTTTCAGGATAGCCCCGTTGTGCTTAAAAGCGACCAATTTACAACAATGTAATTTTTTTTATAAAAAAATGATTTCTTTCTTCTTTTTTTTTTTGCTTGTCTTTTTATATTTTTTTTACTTTCTTTGCTTTGATCTGTTGGTTTGCTTTGTTTGTTTATTAATAAAATAATGTCAGATTAATGTCATGTACGCCAAAAGTGTGTTTTGTCTTTC